TGAGCCAAAAAAAAAATTAAAGGAACAAAATAGTACTGACAAAGAACCTCCAGAGATAACAAATGTTTGTAACAAATTGTAAAAGTTTCACAAAGATGAAATATGGTACTAATAAACAATAAAAGGGGGGAAACGAAAACCAAAAAGTATTTTGAAAAGAGCCTAGAAAACAAGAATCTTGAATGAATAAATCAAGAAACTGAATCAATTGGTCAGGGGTTTTTTGGTTTTCTTTGTTGACGACATGTAATGAAAATAAGCAGAAAAAAACAAGCAGTAAAAGAGAAGTAGCTCGGGAACCAAGAAGAAGAAGAATCCAATGAAGTATATTAAATGATGAAGTGTGCAAACAATTCTCGTTCTGCTTAATTTTTGTTCTTAATTACTACATGCTTAAGTAAAAGATTTTTATTTTATTTTTTTCCTTCTCATTATGGAATTTCTTACCGGTGATGAAAACGAATATATGTGAACTTTTTTGTTAAAGTTCTTGGAAAGTTAGCTAGCTGCTTGTGAGAGACACAGTGCAAAGGTATTTGGCAAGAGCTTTCAATTTCAAGTTATTCTAATGGTAAAATATCAAAAGCTAAGTACAATATATTAGTATTGCTATACTGTATTAATTTATTCTGTAAAATAATGTTATACTATATTAATTTTCATCACTTCAATCATCCATTAAAATTTTCGGAATTAAAAACTTACTGGCCTCGTGCATCCTATAAAAAATGAGTTTTTAGTATTACATCATTTAGCATGATAATTTTGTTATAGTTTTACAAGTGATCAAATAAAAATACATAAAACATGTATAGAGACAGTTATTCATTTTAATTTTTGTGATTGATATTGTTGAATTTACATTATTCTTTATAATTTGGTCGGTCTATTCTCATATAAATCAAACTACCTTGTTTGTGCATATAGCCATATACATGCTAGTCATTAATTTTATAAAAGAGCTCACAAGTCAATACCAGTCAAAGCAATGACAGACTTAATACTGAAGGAATAAAGCTTGGTACACATGTGGCAACATTTTAAGGCTTAAAAGATTAATTTTTAATTCGTTAACCNTAATATGTTTCTCCATGTGTCAAGTGATTTTCATTTTCTTAAAAGCTATTGAGATACGAGTATATACTCTTGGAACATAATCGTATAACTATCAAGTGAAAGTAATTATATCCAATCTTGTATTGTTCTGTTCATAGCATGTACACATATTTTTTTCATGACACTCCTAGATTGATCTCATATCATACAAAACTAGTACAGAGCCCGTGCGATGCACGGGGTTGCACAATTTTAAGACTATTTATCCAGACTTATAATTATATACATGATGAAGAAAAATGTACGGAATATATATAGTACGTGACCCGCGAGATATATTTATTTGGAGAATATTATATTATAAGATGCAATATTCAATAAAAGTTTATAATACGCAAGAAATTGTACGATGTTTAATAAGAATTTTATAATATTCAAGTGGAGTCTTAAAGTCTCTTGTACATTAAGACTACTGACAAAATAATATTTTAATTTCATTTCCTTGTAGCCAAATTGTGAATGTGATTTGAGGAGTACAATAAATCGATATATAGCTGACTTGTTTTTTTCATTGTAGTTTTTTTTTTCTTTTTTTTTTTAATAATGAATTTAAAGATATTCTAAAATATAGCAAAAATTAATTTTTTTATTACAATTAGGAATTTTACTAAATATAAACTCTCAATCTATGGTGTTAATCAACGTTTAAGTCTAAAAAATTAGGAATTTTTACCTCTTTTAATCAACGTTTAAGTCTAAAAAACAATAGAGTTATTATAAGTTTTTTTTTTACATCTTTTAAAACATTAAATATGAGCATGTTAGGGCTAGCTTGTAAAATAATTAATATATTATCTCACTAAAACATTTATACTAATAAAAATTTAATTTTAGCATATAAATTTATCCCTTGATATAAGAGAAAGTAACAGTTTTACTTATTGTTGTTCACCATATAATATTTAATTATTATTTTATTATATAATAAAAAAGAAATATTGTTAAATAGTGTAGTAGAATTGTTATAAAATTATATGAATTTTTTTTTTTTTACAATATGGATTTAATTTTTTTTATGATTTGATAATATAAACAAATCTATACTTAACTTTGAAAAATAAAACAAATAAATACTTTAGTAAGTATTTAATGTATATACTAAATAGGAATATATTTGGTATAATCAAATACCAAATATAATCAAATAAGTCAAAATGTACATTTTTATTTGGTATTTAATTTTTTTATTATTAAAATCTTTTTATTATACTTACCTTTTTAAAATAAAAAAATAAATAAATCAATTAAATAAATAAAATATTATAATACCAAAATAGTAATGACATTTAATGCAGTTGATTTTTCTAGATAATAAATGTAGTAAATAGAATATCCTTTTATATAATATAATACGGAAATAGTAATGCAATAAATGTTGTTGACTTTTCTGACTACTTAATTTGGTAAATAGTACCCCCTTTAATATAAGTATAGATACCAAATTTTTGTTAATATTGTTTTTTTTTAGTGTATGTCACTTTAGTTTAAAAATATGCATGTTCGTTGAAAAAATATGATTGTCTAACCATCAGACATTTGTAACGGGTCTTATTGTGTGTTAAACGATTTGTTAAGTAATGGCAACAAAAAGACTTCCGACCGGTTATAACAAGCTAGAAACGCCTGGATCTCTAGCTGATTGTCGGTTGAACGCCCTCGAACCTGCAGAAATCTCACACTGGAGGGATTTCCGGTGAAGAGCCTCCGATTCTGAAATGAGTAAGCGTACAAGATGAAGTGCAGAGAGTAAAAGCTATCTGTAATGTGTATAATAGAGTGATGATACTTTAGGACCAAAATTGGACGCGTGAGCTACCTTGATTGTCAGAGTTGTCAGAGTCATTCAGGCTGTCAGAAACAGTTAAGCCTCTTCATAAGACGGTTCAGCTCTGTCTTTGACCCTTATTGTCTCGAGGTAAAGCTCTTCAATCATCGAGTTTTGTTGTTCTGCTTATTTGGTCGATCATTCGACCAGGTGCTCCTTCGAGTTGAATGTCTCCTCGACCACTTTAGGCCCCTATTCGATCTGCTGGCATTTTTCTGTGCTTCCAACGTCTTCTTCGACCTGATGGTCTTTCGATCTGAGGAGTCTTCACTCACTACTCGACCTGATGACCGATTCGGTTCGGCTCGGACGTCTCATCGGTCTAATCGACCAGGTATGATTATCCCATATCAAGTAATATGTCCATATTTCTGGGTGTGTTATTATCTCCTTTTTCAGAATTTTCTTTTTTTTTAGGTGGGTTTCTTTCTTATAGCCCTCTATCTATTTGTATCTATATGACTATGAAATTGATAGCTTAATGTGCAAATTATTTGTTACAAAACATAAAGGACAAAATCACTAGAAAACGTGTGCAATCCACCTCAAATTTTCATCTTTTAAGCTAGATATCTCATGAACTTTTCTCCATGCTTACCTTTCTTTCACTTTTTGTTCCTCAAAAGTTATAATATTATTGAACATGGGAAAGATGATATAAGTTATGAAAATAATGTATTATATGCCCCAT